ACATTTATAAACATCTTATTGTTGATTTAATATTTATGTAGTATTCCCATTCTTTCGCTTGGGGAGTCTCCCAAAAAAAAGGGTCTGATATTTGTAAATATTATCCGTTGCAGGAATGCCTTTCCTGAGAATCTCGTGGAAGCTTGTGTTCAGCAGGTATTGTGTTGTAACACCTTGACAGGAAACCCATTTCCCCTTTCACCCATCGCATTGTAGCTTAGTTTTGCAGTTTAATCTGTATTATCTGTGATACGACTCAAAATTTTAGTTTTTTTTCCTTACGTTAATCGGGTAGTTATTAAATGCTTAAGTTTTATGTATATTTTACACAACTCGTCTACTTGAAATAGTTTACTCCCTACGCTAATAATAGAAATATGTTTTATAATTAATGCTAGTTGAATTCTTTAATCATATTTAGACATTTACCCATCACCCCCACCAACAGCAGCTCATTAAACATGTTTACACTCAACATTGCAGAATTTTAGTACATGTATACAATATTATAATTAACATAAATGTTAGAACATAAGTTGTTATCAACTCTACTCGTAACTGTTGCTTATACTTATAGCAAGGACGAATTGATAAAACATTTAATGGCGTGTGTAACTCACAAGGTCGATTTTCCTTAATAAAGTATTTTAACAAAGGTAAGATGAGAAAAGTTTGACTATTTTTCCATTTTTCTTTTCCGTTAAAGTGAAAAGGCCAGTCATGTGTTAAGTATTCCCAAAACATCAGTTTTTGTAAAAGTTTAGGACGACTCCATCCATATGTCCATGGAGGGGGACACTTAAAATTCTTTTAATGATCTAAAGAACATGATTAAGCAGCACAAAACTGTATGTAATAGCACAATACGTAAAAAAAAAAAAATGTTTTCCGATTGTTTTTTAATGAGTCCTTTCCTTTCCATTTCGAGGTCAGTATCGCTGGTAATTCCCTACTGTCAAAATATTTGAATGTTTGGTTTGTTTACAATGATTTACAATGTTTAATACTTCGCAGCTTCTGGCGTTCATACCCAGGAAATGTTATCGTTT